ATATATCTCACAATCTGCGTATTTAAGAAATAAAAAAAATTAAGATGCATATGTTTCGTCGCAAATACAAAAGGTACTGAAAATGTACTAATAAAATCTGAGGTGAGGGTACAAATATGGGGTTAACGTAACAGTATGTATATATATATATCTATATATATAAAGAAGGTCCTCGGGTTATGTTGGACTCAATGTATGCTCTTTCGTGGTTATGGCACCATCTCTGATAATATAATATGTCATCATGTGATGCTATATGAGAAAGATGCTGTTTCTTCAACGGTTTTACACCATATTGAATTATGCTACATCCACTATGTCTCCTTTCTGTCAATTTTTGGGAACTTTTTGCCCTTCATTATGAGCACCAAGTGTAAGGCAGACTCATGGCTGCTTATGTAGATGAGTTCCAACCTACATTAAAAATCAGGTTGCGCCACGCCATAGGAACGGATCTCCGATGTAAGTCAAGAACCACCTGTAATGGACTCTCCTATTGTTTTTGAGCCATGAGAGTCCAGCAGCTCAGTTCTTAGAACTTGACAGCCAGACTACCTGCACATATAATTTGATTATAGTGGTGGAGGCTTGTGCAGAACCAAACCACTCTGTTTGGAAGAGATTACAAGAAAATGGTGCATATTGTGTGCAATTTTAACATTAATTGCAGCAGTTTTCTTTTTTGCCTCTCATAAATCTTCTTGGATATTGTTGTTCATTGAGATATATATATATATATATATATATATATATATATATATATATATATATATAGATATATATATATCTTTTAATGATGAACAACAAATTTTCTTTTAGATTTATATCTGGACAGGTTGGTGAGCATTCCATTAATTTGATGTTAGCAGTGTGGACAAAACTCAGCTTTGCAGAATATTTAAGGACCAGTTTTTTGCATGAATATACTTGAAGCCTTTTTGATTGTGTTCTGTATCTTTCAAAAATTGCCTTGTCCAAGAACTGACAATAATTCTCAGCATTTATCTTGACATAATCATCAATTTTGAAGAAATCTATAATTTCACTGCCTACAATACTAACCCTAAAATTCACTCCATCTGCCATCTGTTATCTTCCTAGTCATGTTGGTTGACTATTTCTGTGAGGGCTCCAACCTCTAGGCTAGGCTGCATGTCCATCTGAGGAAGGTACTCCATATTCATCACTAAAAACTACTATCGAAAAATCAGTTTTTATCTATTGACTTGCCCATATTGCATATTTTTATTTTTCGTGTTTAATTGAAGGTCATAATTTTTAAAAATAATTTCCAAGCAATTCAATAAAACCACTAAGACACAAGGAATTACTTAGTGTGAAAAAATAAAGAAAAGAAAAACATTCTTATGGTGCGAGAGCAATAAAAGAAGAGGAATCAAGTATACAGTAGATAATGATTGATATTGCATTTAAATTTTTGAAGATCAAGAAACAAGAAGCCAGAAGGGAGTTCCATAATTGAAAAGTATGAGAAAAGAACCTGTTAGCATAGAACTTACAGTTTTATCTAGCCAATTCAACTGTAAAATGATGAGACCTTGTTGCCAATCTAGTATTGCTTTTAAATTCATAAAGTTTAGGTAACATAGAGGAAATTTTATCAGAATAATTACTATGAAAGTATTTATAGAAAAGGCACAGGAGAACTACATTGCAGTGGTGGGAAAGTAACTGAAGCTGAGATGCCAGGTCCGGACCAATAACATTGCAGATTCTTCTTTGAATTTTATCAAGAATCTCTAAATATATAGCAGGTGCACCAGACCAGATAGCAATATTCAATGCAAGGATAGGAAAATTATAAATTTATTAGTTAAATTCTGGTGAGAAAAATTGTCTAGTATGCCATAGTGAATCGACTTTCCTAGCATTTCATTTGTTCTTATGGTTCTGAGCTTACAGCTATATCACATTGAAACACTGGTTCTTGTATGATTACCAAAGTTAAGCAAGATTGAGTCTGGTCAGTACCTAGAGGAGTGACCACTTGGCTAATATCAGATGCTGTTAACAAGTATGTGTAAATCTGAGTGCTGAGTTTCAATTCCAGTCAGGTTCATTATATTCATTTATGTCCCTTAGGAAAAATTTGAATCCACCTCTTCTCCTCCCAGCTATGGGTTAATTAGTATGACTTGTATTAGTAAATCATCATTATCTACAAAAAGTTCTTATAATCTAAAAATATTTTTTGTCTTTAAATAACCTTGAAAATTCAGTAATCAGTGAAAATTCATACAGTAACAAGTTTTCTCCCTTAAGTTGTACTAAGTATAACTTAAAGGAAAAAAACCTCTATGCTGTTTCTGATCTTTACCAATGACCTCCCTGATACCATCAGTTCCCAAGTAGGTACTTATGCAAATGACACAACCATTTACTCCTTAGTAACAAGCCTGACAGACCCAACAAAGTAAAACTGGCAACTGCTCTAGAAAAATACCTCCAATCAGTAGTTAGCTGGGGTAAGAAATGGCTTGTAAATTTTAACATCTCCAAAACAAAACTGCTTTCATTTAATCACCACTGTGAACCTTTTTTGCCTGCCATCAGCATAGCTGATGCTAAACCACAAGATAGCAACACTTTACAGCTTCTTGGGCTCATGTTTTTCACTGACATGAAGTTTAGTGACTATATTGAATAAATTTCTCTGTCTGCTGCTGGGAAAGTTGGTTCATTATGTCATGCCAGACAATTTTTATCACTAGAATCCATCTTGCACATTTATAAATCTAGCATTTGTCCATGCATTAAATATTTTGCTGTCATATTTGGTCTGGTCCTCTTACTGTATATTTCAGGATATTCTTGAAAATTCAAAGAAGTCTCTATAAAGTGGTAATCCTGACTTGGCATCTCAACTTCTGTTACTTTCTCATCAAAGTAATGTGGCATCCATCTGTCTTTTCAACAAATATTTTCAACTGTTCTTTTCCCTAGTGCTTCAACTGCATGAAATTAAGCATGTTACTAGATTGGCAACTAGGTCTCACCATTTTACTATTGAACTAGTTAAATGCAATAACCACTTCTATTCTAATAGTTTCTTTTCTCACACTTCTCACTTTTAATTTCTCACTTCTCTGACAGCAACAATCTTCAAAAATTTAAATGCAGTTGCGATCTTCTGTCTTCCTGAACTCTTTCTTTATGGCTCTTTTCTC